TATCACTCTCACTCGTCCTTCTCGGACTCCGCTTCTTTTCAAGCTTATATCACACCTCTCTCTCTCTCTCTCTCTCTCTCTCTGATTTACAGGATGTGTGCTGCTATTCCTAATCTTCACACAAATGCTCATTAAAATGATTAACTATTGCAATAATCAGTGTTTCCCCGCATGACTGGCAACTCTTTGATAGGGTCAAAATGGTCAGACTTTAAAAGGCCATCGATTTTCATGAGGAATTTTTAAAGGCACACTATGCAAGAATTCTACATTAATATAACAGCTTCACAGTCATTTCGGTGGTAAACAAACTCCTGGTAGTAAAGCCTGGGGGGGACAGCAAATCTCGCGAGAATCACGGCATGCTTTACGGCAATGATGTCACACACATCAACAACGGCAGTTGCGCGCATTTCATGTGATGCTCGACGATGGAAAAAGCAAAGAAAACGTGGTAGGAAGAGACTAGGAAAAGGACTTCGTGAGGAACCGGATAAGAGTCGCACTCGGGATTGCACTAGTTGGCGCACGCTAAAAAGCAGCACTGGATCCAACAGCGATGCCGACCTGACGATCTTGTTGATGGACTAGTAAATCTCTTATTTCTAAGCTAGTTAGCGTTCTATGTTGTCTGTTGCTGCGCTGGCTTGTAGTAGCTTATGTCATTTTTTATGATGCTGTTCATTCATCCATTATTGATAATTAGACCAGTCCAATAGTTTCCTCATGTCTAGCTAGCTATTTACGACAGTGCAAGTACTCCGCAGCGACTATAGGGGTCGCCGTTTGACAAAAACACAATTTCTACATAGTGTGCCTGGAAAACAAAATATTAAACAAGTGGCATTTGTTTTGTAACCGATTTGTAACTGTATTTTTATAGCAGCATCTGTAAATATGTAAAGTTCGTGTTGTCCGCACACAGATACGTCCATTTTGGATGCCATATGCTTCTAGCGCAGACCTTTGTTTCGTTAGCCTTTGCCCCTTTGTTTCTTTGTTATAAGTGTATTTGCATGATTTGTATTCCCTTGTGTTGTGTGTGATCGCTGTTGGCCAGCCTGTTGCTTTGTCCGATTGTCTAGTGTTTTCCCCTGTTGGCTGTCTTGAGCCTCTCTGCCTGATCATTGTCTCGGGCCAGGCTCAAACATCTTCTAGTAGCTGTAGCAAGACAAATCTGAATCACGTAATTCCTCACAAACGTTGAAATATTTTGTCCTGTTGCTTTTATGGACTCTCTATCTATGGGCTTCTCCTTAACTTTATGCCTTCATGTCCCCCCGATTGCCTCATAGACAGTAAAAGATTGCCTGCGAGCGTCCCCTCCTGTCTATACGGTAATGTCTCTATTGTGCGACAGAAAGTTCTGTGGTTATGACGTAATCGTTAGCCTATATTTTTCAAAAACAGCTTCTAACGTAAGATACAAAGTAATGGAGCCTTTTATTCATTGTCGTGTTTCTTTAGAAATAAATAATGGACAAATGGAATATTTGGACGCCTCTGATGTAAAGTTATTCGCTGTCAAAGTGACGCCAAAATGAATGGAAGTCAATGGAATGCTAACAGCGTGAAGTTTTGCTACAATGGCAGCTCCCGCGAGGCTTCAACTTCCGGCTGATGGATTACCCGCTTGACTACGTCACTGCGTTGCTCTGGTTGGTTGTAGCGCTATCCTATTGCATGCAGAGAGAATTTTTGAAAGACAACCGTTTATCCCACCCCTCGGATTGAGCCCTGCCAATGCTGTTCCCTAACCCAATATCTTGATGTGAGCTCAAAACATGCTGTGTTTCCACTGTCGGGCCACTGCGAGCAGAGCTTTAAACAGGCGGGCGGGGCCAATAGCCTCGAGTCAGGAACACGGGGCCCAAAACATGCTGTGTTTCCACTGTCGGGCCAGTGCGAGCAGAGCTTTAAACAGGCGGGCGGGGCCAATAGCCTCGGGTCAAGAACACGGGGCTCAAAACATGCTGTGTTTCCACTGTCGGGCCAGTGCGAGCAGAGCTTTAAACAGGCGGGCGGGGCCAATAGCCTCGGGTCAGGAACACGGGGCCCAAAACATGCTGTGTTTCCACTGTCGGGCCAGTGCGAGCAGAGCTTTAAACAGGCGGGCGGGGCCAATAGCCTCGGGTCAGGAACACGGGGCCCAAAACATGCTGTGTTTCCACTGTCGGGCCCGGAGCTCTGCAGCGCTTCACTGAAACCGACCCGTAACACGCATCACTGGAACAGCAACACACAAACCCATCGCTTCACCAACAAATGGAAGTTTTATCAGAAAACTTATCAGAAAGAAATCATTGGAAACCGCGAGATCGCAAAACGAACAAAAGCGTGGTCTGGATGGAGTTCAGATGATCGCAGGATCGCTTTCCAAGAACTCATCCAGTGCGATTTTAGGGAAAATCTTATCTATCGAAGACGTCCAATAGATTACTTACGCACACCGAAAGAACACCACAGGCAAAGTGCATTCAACATGGGAAAATCTCACAGTAAAACTGTGAAAAATATGATACAATGGCGTTTTACACTTTGAATTGCTATATAAACAAACTTGAGATCATCAAAGCCGTCGACGTCGGCCGTGATTTGTGTTCTCTCTCCATCACTGGGCTTGATAATAACATTATGCATTTATAGCTCTTGTTTTTGGGAGTGTTAACATGTTTGTGAGGCACCAGTACGGCGGAGGGGAGACTGGGATGGTGTGTACATACTCAAACATATTTTAGGGACACATTTGTGACCTCCCTTTAGGAATGTCCTTTTTCTTATACATTTAATAAATGAAAAAAACGTTTGTTTTTTGCTTTGTTTTTTAGGAAAAATGCTTAAAGTTGTCTGGGTTATGTTTAGTGTACAACTAGCTATATATAAAAACTGTAGACGTTTATAAAATGTCCCCATTTGTGTGTGTGTGTGTGTGTGTGTGTGTGTATGGGAGAGGTCTCTCACCCTTATCTAGTGCTTCAGCCTGCATTTCCTGTCCCTCACGAACTGCTTCCTGTCCTTGGCGTTGGAGCCTTCAGACACACACACACACACACACACACACACACACACGCACACACACACTGTCCCCCATGCACAGACAGCTCTACACATAGACTCACATTTATGAATATACGCACACACTGTCGCCAGGCAGGCCTTTGTGGGGAATTACACAATAGCGCTGGCTCCTGAGTGCCGGGGGACTTTACATGAGTCAGACGGAAGCCGTATATGTGTTCGCACTCTCTCACTCTCACACACACACACACACACACACACACACACACACGGCCCAATGCTTCTTCATAAGTAAAAGTACTGTATGAGGGCGTTACACACGCGAGCGGCTCATGTGTGTGTGTGTGTGTGTGTGTGTGTGCTCTTCATTATAACACAAAGAGTTAGAGAGTAAAAACATTCAAATCAAGGTGACCATAAAATAGGATGTGGTTTTGGTCAAGTTCCCACTTGCTCCGGTAACACTGCACACGATCGGGACATTTTAGTTCTCAAAACGTCAACATTTACCGTTTACAGTCAATAATCCTCAACAAACCACAGGGACCCTTCACTGTAAAAATGAATATGCTTTATCTAATCGATAAAATGGTGGCAACAGATTACAAGCAATATTATTTATTAAATTGAACAAATTAGAATTGAGTAATAGTTAATCAAATTAACATTCCAATTTGTACAATTTAATTAATAATATTGCTTGTAATATGTTGCCACAATTTTATTGATTAGATAAAGCATATTATATTTTTTCAGTGTTCACGGAGGCAACAGACCCGATATTACAGACCCCGATATTCAATACATAGTTTGTTTCTAATATTAAAATCATTTATATTAATATAATTAGTATACCTTGCATTAAACAAAGCACTGTTTTAAACTCAAGATTGTGAATATCACTCGCTGACTGTTTTGTGGTGTAAAGCGAGTTTCTTCACTGAATACAATGCAACACCTTCTCTTCATTATCAGTGTGTGACGATCCTCCTACTACTGTTTGCAAATCCAGGTTAAATCTATGCATCAGGATATTAATCCTAAACCACACATGCATCGCATCCGCGAGGCAAACATTTAACTCTTAAACACGATTAAACGTTTGCGAAATAAAAGTTAAATTACAATTTCACGTGTGATGTCTTTTAAATAATAGGTCTAATATTCAGAATCGCTGATGTAAGCCCATCTTTTTAAACTCTTTATGCTTGTTGCACTTTTTTATCATCATGAGTCATGAAAAATAAAAAGCACATTTGTTTTAAGCGCCTCCTAGAGAGAAAATAAGAGTGCGAGTAAAAGTTAAATCACAAGCTGTTCATGCAATGCATTTTTGTCCTAAATAAACACGCAAACAGAAGAACTTTTCACCACGCAGGGTTAGGGTTAGGATTACATGACACATGCTGTCAGGTAAATGCGAATCTAGCATGCGTTTTATTTTTCGTGCCATTTATACGCCAAAAACAGTGCGTGCACGAGGCAACTATTTTTGGTGTAAATGGCACGAGAAATAAAGTGCATGCTCGCTCCTCACCTGACAGCATAGGCTATGTGTTGTGCTTGGTGAAGTTTCATAAGATCAGGCTAGATTACTACATGCTTTACCCTCGAACTTTTTTATTATAATGATAAATAAAAAGGGTTTTAACACACATAACACATTCGCATGCCTCCTAGAAAGAAAATAAAGGTGTTTCTAATAATGCATGAGTAAAAGTTAAATCACGAGCTTTGCAATGCATTTTAGTCATAAATAAACGCGCAAACGGGAACAGAACTTTTCACCGCACACGACTGGTGTGATTATTCACTTTATACTCTTTGAATGTAAAGTCCTGCCAAAAAGTGAAATGTCCCGGGGGAAGGATCGCTGTGAACGCGCAGTGTTTGTGAACGCGGAGTCTTGGCTCGGTTCGGTCCGCCCACACGGGTCACTATTGGTGGAGTTTAAATCTGTGTGCACTTCTGACCTTACTGGATATACTGTAGCGGCCAGCACTGGGAGACCAGCAGAGGACATCCAGTGGAGGAAGTCTCCAGGACACACACAGTCTAGTTCATCACCGGGGATCACCAAAGGAACGCGCGGCGCGTGCAGGAGATGAGCAGTCCCGATGCGGGTTACGCCAGTGACGACCCGAGCCTGACCCGAGCCAGACCCGAGCCGGACCCGAGCCTGAGCCGAGGCACCAGTTCAGTCATGATGCCCGTCGCGCGACAGTGCGCGTGGCCGGAGGTAGACGCGCTTCACGCGCTCTCAGACGCCAAAGCGAAGCGCGAGACTCCCGCGCGCGGAAAGAGCGAGGCGCGCGTCCGCAGGCCGATGAACGCGTTCATGGTTTGGGCGAAAGATGAGAGAAAGAGGCTCGCGCTGAAGAACCCGGATCTGCACAACGCAGAGCTCAGCAAAATACTCGGTGAGATACATGTGTCTATCACTGCTTTACTAAATCAGCCGCTTTTGATCAAAAACATAATTATTCAACTCATTATTCTCTATATAATATCCATCAGAATAAAAATTTGCCGAACACGTGTAAGTTTATCATTGACCCAAGGTGAAATAAAGCAGATCTAATGTCGTATATTAATATCATTCGACATGAACGTGTAATACATGTAATACAAGCAATGCTGACAGTACAAATATAATATGTAGGCCTTATTGTTTTATAATAATGTGATTGGCGTGTAGAATCAAATTATGTATCAGTAAGTGTAATAAGAGTTTTGGAGTTGTGTTTTTACCCTGCTCGTTGTTCATGATATTTTGCTGATTTGATCAATAAGTTGAGACATCATTCTACGTTGCTTTAAAAAACTTTTTAAAACAAGATTCAACTCATTTTTTAAGTTGGTTTAATGTAATTTAAGCTAAACAACCATGTAAAACCTTACGGCTGCTCACTTTATTTTACATTTTATTTATTTTTTCTTACATTAGAGATGCGCTGCGTGTAAACTGTGATCAAGTTACCTTAAAAAAAAATTGAACCATACGCAATTGAAAAAAAATTAAGTTATGTGGACTTCTCAACTTGACAAAATTAAGTTGAAAAGTTGACAATTCCAAAATAACTTGTTTTTTTTCCCCCAACTACGCATGAAGTTTATTCACTTAATTTCAAGGCAACAGGGTTCCTCTCTTTTTTAAGTTAAGTCAACTAATCACTTTTTAAACTTAATTGTTTAACTAATTAACCTTATTGTGAAGTGTTCGAGCATTAATTGTAACACAGGTTAATTAGTTATGAACTAGTGAACGACATTTCTAAAGCATTTACTAATGTTCATTTCAACATTTAATAATACATTATTGAAATCAAAGGTTAGTCATTGAACATGAATAGACTGTTTTTAATAACTAGCATTAACATATACACTGTAAAAAATATTGTGGTTTAACTTAAAGTAAGTAACCTGGTTGCCTTTAAATTTTAAGTTGATTGAACTGGAAAAAGTGAGTTAATACAATGAAGGAGATTGATTTAATCATCAGAAACTCAAAATAATAAGTTATCTCAACTAAATAAATTATTTTTGTTGATTTGACAAAAGAAAAAATGTGATTACTACACTGTAAAAAAATATTGTCGGTTTAACTTAAAAAAGTAAGTAATCTGGTTGCCTTAAAATTTTAAGTTGATTGAACTGGAAAAAGTGAGTTAATACAATGAAGGAGATTAATTTAACCATCAGAAACTCAAAATAATAAGTTATCTCAACTAAATAAATTATTATAAAGTTGATTTGACAAAGGAAAATATGTTGTGATAACAAATCTTGAAAATATTTTTTTTACGGTGTAATAACCAGGGTTAGTTTGCGTTATTAATGTTCACGGTCTGTAAAGCTGGATCTCTGGTGTCGTCTCTAGGCAAGTCCTGGAAGTCGCTGGCGCTGTCGGAGAAGCGGCCGTTCGTGGAGGAGGCCGAACGCCTGCGAGCGAAACACATGCAGGATCATCCCAACTACAAGTACCGACCCCGGCGCCGCAAACCGGCCAAGCGAGCCAAGCGTCTGGACTCGGCGTTCCTGCGGCCCGCTCCGGACGACTTCCCCGCGTACTTCCAGAACCAAGCCTTCGAGACCTTCAGCGCCACTCCGGCGGGATTCAGCAGCGCACACCAGTCCTCGTGCAGATACACACACTTCCAGGAGCACGCCGACACACACACCGCCTACACACACACCGATCCGCAGCTCGGCCTGATGAGCGACGCACAGCTTTACGACGAGAGCCTGTGTGTGTATGACTCTCCGGGGCCGATGATGGACGAGTGTGTGGTGTACGGGGGCCCTCATGTCCCTCAAGGGCCCGATCTGATCTCCGCCGCTCTGTCTGACGCCAGCAACGCTGTGTATTATTACACTCATTCCTGAACAACTCAATCCAACTTGGTGAATTATTTCTAGCTTTCGATCGATGAAATGTAAAGAGAATCCAGAGGCCCTTCAATGGTTTTCACAGTAATTTTGAGAATCTGAACCCATTAATATCAGCATTAAAGTTTGTTCATTTCCAGAGGCTGTTTATCATCTTAAAGTTCCTGTAGTCGATCATTTTATCACCAAAATTACATATTTAAACGTTTTTTTTTTCTATTTAAATATCTTGACTGTAGCTCGACACCTCATTTAGTATTCGCGGTTCTATGAATATGCAAATGAGCCCCGCCTCCATTTACTCACTCACTCAGAGAGCCACTCAGTGTAATTCCACATAGAGATGAAATTTCAATTGTTTACACATTTTTTTTTAATTCAAACTCATTAAAATGGCATAATCAATCGAAAATATGAACTAATGTGGAATTGTCAAGTCGATCATTTTATCACCAAAATTACGTATTTAAACGTTTTTTTTTTTCTATTTAAATATCTTGACTGTAGCTCGACACCTCATTTAGTATTCGCGGCTCTATGAATATGCAAATGAGCCCCGCCTCCATTCACTCACTCACTCAGTGTAATTCCCCATAGAGACGAAATTCCAATTGTTTACACATTTTTTAAATTAAAACTCATTAAAATGGCATAATTAATCGAAAATTAATTGAACTAATGTGGAATTGTCAAGTTCATTTAAATAACTTTATCAATTAAGAACTAAGTATAAAGGCAACGGTTTCCTCAATTTTTTTAAGTTAGAGAACTGAACACTTTTACAGCCGAAAGCATCATTTCAGTTTAGTATAGTTTTTCTCAGCTCGCCAGGATTGTTTATAATATTAAAGTCCCCCTGCAGTCGATCGTTTTATCCCTTAAAACTCATCTTTGATCAAGAAAATAACATATTTAAGTGTTTTTTTAATTAAAATATCTTGAATGTAACTCGACACCCTTGCCTCATTTAGTATTCATTGTGGTTATACATATGAATATGCAAATGAGCCCCGCCTCCACTCACTCAGCTCAGAGATCCACTGGTCTGACGGCAGCATTAAAGTTTCAAAATGTGCAATATTTCACTTTCAGTAAAGCAGGACAAAAACACTAATATAATAATAACTCTGGCGACTCTACTGTAAATATAGTGTAAAATGAACTGTACAGTAAAACCCTTACAGAGTCATTTTTGTTTATTTTATTTTTTCGTTGTTTTGTTTTTTTGTATTTTTGAAAAATAAAAGTAAAGCATAATATTGTGTTTGTTACTCTGTTTAAAACAGTCAAACTCTGTCGTATGAACTCTATTCTGCTGGATTGTGTGTAAATGATGTTCGTGCTCCAGTTAAAACTTCCCGGTTCTCTCTCTCTCACACACACACACACACTAGCCTAGCACATACACACAAACTCTCACACGCACACACTCTCATTCGTATCCACACGCACACTCACATATACACACAAACACAATCTCACACACTCTCATTCACAAGCATATTAGTGTGTATGTGTGTGTGTGTGTGTGTGTGTGTGTGTGTGAGAGAGAGAGAGTGTGTGTATCTGCTAGTGTGTGTGTGTGTGTGTGTGTGAGAGAGAGAGAGTGTGTGTATCTGCTTGTGTGTGTGTGTGTGTGTGTGTGTGTGTGACAGGACTATGTAAATATGTGTCTCCAGGCTTTATCAGATTCATAAGCTTGTCCTCAATCCCAGTCCAGTTGTGCTGATGATAAATATAGACACACACACACACACACACACTGAATGGTAGCTCAACAACACAACCAGTTATTCCTCACACCGATTTACACACATCTATAAATATCTCTGACACACACGGATGCTTTTGTTTCTCGTGTGTGTTAGTGGAGTAAATCTATAAATGGACCTGATTGTTACAGGAATACTGACTAAAAACTGTGTGTGTGTGTGTGTGTGTGTGTGTGTGTGTATGGATGTGTGTGTTTGTGTGCACATGAGTGTGTGTGTGTGTAAATGTGTTTTACACGCGTCTCAGAGAAGCTTCACACGATGTTCCTGTTTATCAAACAAGTTCCACATTTGTACCTAAAAAATAGTGACACACACACACACATCCATAGACACATTCATACACACACACACACACATCCATAGACACATTCATACACACACACACACACACACGTGTAAAAACCTTTATCTTTTCCCTTTGCTTTTGTATTAGTACAGCAGGGACACTTACGAAATCAGTTCAATTTCATGTTTATTTATCACTTGATTTAACACAGATTCCTTCAGATCAGCTTCACAGATATACATTATAAATATTAATAAACACCCATCAGGCACTTTAAGTGATGGTTGATATCGATGAGGTTTATAATAGTTTGAGAAACTATCAATCTGCATTCAATTATCCCAATGGTGCCTGTCCTTTACTTTTATACAAAATATAGATTTTACAAACTGTTTTTTTTACTCTGAAAATGCCATGAAATCAAAGACATATGTCTATTCAAGTTTTGTTGGAAATTTGATATCTGAAAGTTGATATCACAAAAATGAAAGTTCCTATGAGATTTAGTTTTGGCGCTTTACCCAAAATGTCCACCGGGTGTCACACACATTCCACTGATATTATTGGGTTCTCGAGTCACAAATGTCAACATTTCTGTCACAATATCACTTCATTCAGGAAAACAATCCCCAGATATGGACCCCAGAGTCTCAGACCTTTCCAACGATATGCACTTTGTCAAGATTAGAAAAGGTTTTGATTATAAAATAGACTCCACCCACTCGAGTCGCCGCTATACGTTTCGCAATACAAAAATTTCAAAATAGTTCTCAAAATGAATACTGAAAGTTTTAGCTAATACTTAATTTATGAATATTAATAAATGATGTGATAGGAAAAAGGGCAATATAAAAAAAGAGCACCAAGCGTGACGCTAGAGTTAAAGAACCCATGCTAGCATGTTTAGCATATAGCCAGCATGATTTGGCACGTTCCTAACATGTTTTAAGATGATTTACAATTGGTGCTAGCATGAATAAACAGTGCTGGAATGTCTGAGCACATTGCTCAAACATGTTTTAACATTTTGCTAATATTATTTAACAAGGTGCTAGCATGATTCCAGCATGAATTAGCATGGTGCTAGCGTTAAACATGTAGCTAACATTATTTAACACAATGTTTGCACCATGTTAATGAATTAACATGGTGCAAAAAATTTTTTAACATGTAGCTAGCATGATTTAACATGATGCTAACTTAACATGGTTCTAGTATGGTTAACATGTAGCTAGCATTATTTAGCATGATGCTAACTTTATTTGGTTCTATATGGTTGACATGTAGCTAGCATGATTTAGCATGATGCAAATTTTACATGGTTCTAGTATGGTTAACATGTAGCTAGCATGATTTAACATGATGCTAATTTTATATGGTTCTATATGGTTAACATGTAGCTAGCATGATTTAGCATGATGCTAATTTTATATGGTTCTATATGGTTAACATGTAGCTAGCATGATTTCGCACAAAATGAACCATGCAACTCATTACTCCTGGACTCGTTTATGTTGCTGTGAGGCGCTCGCAGGTTCTGTCCTCCCGTCTCCCCGTGTTAGCAGTCTTATATGCAACCTTTATTTCAAAGTGAAGGTGCCAAAACTTTATTGGGACGAGAGAATTTGCCTGTCAAGTGTGGTTTTGAACCCCTCGCTCTCAAACATGATTTAATGAATAGCATTTTACTTTCGCTTTTGATTTTGGCGTTCAACGATCATGAACCTGCGCTGTCGCTCTTCATTACACAACATGCAAACCAGTCAAATCATGAAACAAGTTCCCATGAAACAAAAGTCCCGCCGGACCAGCTCGATATTAAAAATAGAGTTAAAAGAGAATTGAGCCGCTGTTTCAGTGATCGGAGATCCGGCTTCAGTGTGCGCTTAGACAAAAACTCACAACAATATGTTAAAATACCCATCTTGGCGAGTTTTTACTAAACAGTTGGTTTTGTCTTAAAGAGGTCATATAATGTCATTTTAATTTTACAAGTTAATTTGATTCTCATTAGTATTGTAAGAAAACACTTATTTTACCTGGTCAAAAACAGCTCTGATTTCAGCACGCCGTTTCAGTGCATGCGTCTTTAAATGATAATGAGCTTCGCTGACTCCGCCCCTCTGTTTTGACCTTTACTGTCTATGGTTTTGACGGAAACCTTAGCCGCATTCATCGTGACGCGTGCAAGCGATTTGCAAAGATTAAAATAAAGGTTAATAAAGCTTTACACACACTTCTTCTGGAGGTGCAGCAGGTCTGTGAGTCTGTGTCAAAACGCTGCTGTCAATCAACAATTGTGGGAGGGGCGTCGACCATGTGATATTAGTGTATTAGATCGGTGGATTCGCTCTTAAAGTGACAGTAGCCTAATAATCACAACAAAAGACAAGAGAATCACTCACTGATAACTTTAGTAACTTCATTCATACGGTGCAGTTTTATTTTTAACACTCGATTATTACATTTTTGTATAGTATACAAGGTAAAATACTTAATTTTTATATATTTTATATTAGTAACACTTTACAATAAGGTTCATTAGTTAATGTATTAACTAACACGAACTAACAATGAGCGATCATTTTTTTACAGTATTTAATATTTCTTAATGTCAGTTAATAATAATACAGCTGTTCATGCTATAGTTCATTGGGACATAATGTTAACAAATACAACCTTTGATTTTAATAAAATATTAGTAAATGTTGAAATTAATAGAATTCTAAGTTCATGTTAAAGCTTCTTTTAGTTTATTCTTAGTTAAAAACACTTAGTTCTTTCAAAAATATATGTGCTCATTAATGTATATTTACTTCGTATTCTTGTGAGTGTATAATATGCCATTGAAAATACATACGGGTAAGGGGTTCGCCATGTTGCCCCTTCCATCTTGAAAGTACATTAGCCAAAGAGGGACATACCCGTTAATTCAAGCTTCGCCTTTCGCGTTTACGTTTGAGTTAACACTCATGGACGAAGTCGAACTGGAAGCCATGTTAATCTTGGACTAAATTGGCCACCGTAGGAGTTAAAATGAAATCGAAATTGAGAGGAACAGAAACTAATATTCACTGGATGGTCATATACCTTTTCACCACTAGATGGGGTAAAAATCACACAGTGTAGCTTTAAATAACGAACATTATTGTAAAGTGTTCCCTTTTATTGTATTGTATTTGTCCTATTGTTTGTAATCTTATTTTACATGGTTTATATATTTTGCTGAGTGTCGTTGTTCGACAGTGAAACTGCGCTTATAAAGAACAGATTATGGGTTTCGAGGTTTCCTGAAGGCATTGTCAAGGACCCGTACAGAAGCGAGTTTATGAATATGTGTTGGTGCTTATAAAGTCAACATGCAGTTTTTATTTGAGCGATTCTCCCGCAGTCAGTGTCGCGAGTGCCGGATGATCATGTGACACGGCATGGCCGCTTCGCTTCATGTGTGGGTCCACAGACATATCAAACAAATCCCATATTTATCCCAAACATGTCTTGGATGTTTTCCCAGTATAAGCAATGCTCGCTCGGGGATCTGAAGCCGGCGCCTGGAAAACTGCAAAGGGTTAAATATAGATACACACATTCCAGATGAATACCTCAGCGTATGATGTCTCTCTCACGTGTGTGTGTGTGTTTTCACTCCTTTACACACTTTATAATCTCTTCATGATTCTCAGCTGGTCAGAACATCACGTGTTCACACACAGAGTAGCTCACAGCAGAGTTATCAAATATATACATCATAAAACCCAATTCTTTTGTTTTGTATGTTTATGTTAACTCTTTCCCCGCCATTGACGGACTTGTTGGCTTGTCGTGTTCCCACTGTTGTACGGTAGGGGGCGCTGTGACATCTTCCCTTTTTGGATCAAAACACAGAAGATGCAGAACAGAGGAATCTCACGTAAAATGACGTGATTGTCAACATCAAGCAGCATATAAATCAAAACTGTCTGTAATTGAAACTTGCCGGCCCAGAAAGTTATTAAAGACATCGTTAAAAAGCGACGAGAATACTTTCTGTGCTTCTGTACGTCAGAACGAAGGCTCACTATTGGCCAGTATCACACACATGACCAGCGTCGGCCAATAGAGAGCCTGCGTGTGACGTACAACACAGAACGTTACACTACGAGAACTCACTCGAGGCCCACGTAGAAGTAAAGGAAGACTTGAATAAAGTCGTTATTTTTGTTTTTATTGCCGCACAGAACGTATTCTCGTAGCTTGATAATCTAAAGGTGGAGTCGCTCTCGTCACTCGCACTATTTTAACGATGTCTTTAACAACTTTCTGGGCCGGCAAGTTTCAATAACAACAGAAGCCTATGGAGGAGTGATCCAGCTCTCAGATTTAATCACAAATATATTCATTCGTGTCCCGAAGATGAACGAAAGTGTTATGGTGTTGAACGACACGAGGGAGAGTCATTACTACAGAGTTTACATGTTTGGGGGAACTGGCCCTTTAAACACTGAAGCTTTGAGGCGGTGAAGGACTCCATCTGTGTTTGGGATATTTATATGATCCAGATCGTCGTGATTTTCTCCGCTTTTTTGCTCAAATATGAAACTTGCCCACATTCAAGAGTTGATTAAAAAAATAATGCCTGGCCGTATTTTTTTTCTTTAAAATCAGCAGGTCTGTTATTCCTTTGTTCATATATTATTTCGGAAGAACATGTTTTATATATCGGTTTAATGATGTTTACGGCTGAATTAATGAGGGAAAGTTTTAATCGACTTGCGTGTCCTCGTTTTCATCACGCAGTTGTAATCGGTTACGGTTTATGAAAATAAATCTATTTAATTGATATTATAGTATAATGCTCTCACTGTCTATGCAGTTCTAGCTCTTTGTGTAGAGATTAATACAGAGTTTACTATACAGTATTTGACAATATTTCAGTCAGAAGTTCAAACGCGTTTAATATTGCGTAAGAACATCTGTTTATACACCTCATCAGTTTGTTACAGTAGAGTAAAAAATATTGAATAATATTTGAGCATATTTTTCAGACGTACCGTGTTTCTTTTATTGATACGATATTGCTAATGATCAGTCAGGTCTTTACCATTACACAAGTGAAGGTATGTTCGGGTGATGTGCTTAGCGTGTTCCTCTCTCTCTCTCACACACACACACACACACACACACACACACACACACACACACACACACACACACACACACACACACACACACACACACACACACACACACACACACACACACACACACACACACACACACACACACACACACACACACACACACACAGGTTGGTGAGATTACCCGCGAGAAGAGATTAAGTGGCCCAGAATACCTCGGTCTCCATCGCAGCTTCTGTCCGGCGTTTGACCAAATGTTCCGGTTCTCTCGCAGTCATGAGGAACGCAGTGAGTATCTCCGTGACTGTACGTGTGTGTTGTGTTGTTTAGACTCGAGAAGTGTTTTCTGGAGCGGTTTCGTCGTCACCACCGATAATCTGCATTCAGAGCTTTAAGTGACTTTAGTTTGGGAAATGTGTGCCTTCTACACATCGAAAAAAAGGCAAAACCGTTTCCTTATTTTAACTTAATGAACGTTCAGATTAAATCCTGAGTATCAAATCTGATATTGGATTATTTTCTCCAAACGGGTTAGGATTAGGGTTAACCCAAAAATCTTAATTAGTTTACTTTTTAAAGAATGCCTTTTCCACATAAATTCTACAGGAGTTTTGTGTAAGATTGTCGTTTAGCGTTTATAATGGTGTTACGTTGGTGAACTGGCTGATCTGAGCACAGCTCTGGTGGGTTAATCCAGACCTGTTGAACAGTAAACAACATTAAAGGGATGTACAGTCTGTGATCCACACAAACAGGCTTCAACAACTCAGTTTATATCTATATGGTGATTTAAAGAAAATCACAAAGCTTATTTGTAAAAACGAAGCTCTAACGCAAAGAAAACTACCAATACATGCTAGGGTTGCCGCGGTGAGGAAAATTTCCCACCGGTTAATCGACGTGTGACAACACCGGTAATCCCGGTGTCACCGTGGAGGGCAGGGCGGGGGGGTTAAATAGCTTTTAAATGCGTGCGCGTTATACTTTCACTTTCGAAATAAGCGTCAATTGCTTGAATGGACAAAAAAAAAAACAACTCGCTGATAATAAAACTTTTATTTATAGACTTTTATTAGCATAACGAACAAATAAAAATAACCCTATGCATAGGCTGAAAAAAGTGAAAATCGGCAAAATGTGGGCCCAAACAAATAAGAACCATAAAACGTTTATTAACGAATAAGAAAATAAAATAGGCCTAAATAAATTACACAAAGTTTAAATGAGATAAAACCAATTAAAAAGAGACGAATATAAAATAAAAACTTCAAAACGGACCTTAGCCTACATAAATGACATACTTTCACTTTCGAAATAAGCGTCAATTGCAATTCAGCGTCAATTGCTGGAATGGACAAAAAAAAAAAAAAAAAAAAAAAAAACAACTCGCTGACAATAAACTTTTATTTAGACAGCACTTTTATTAGAATAATAAACGAATAAAATATAGACAGAACTTTTATTAGCATAACGAACGAATAAAAATAACCCCATGCATAGGCTGAAAAAAGTGAAATCGGCAAACTGTGGGCCCAAAAAAATAAAACGTTTATTAACGAATAAGAAAACAAAATAGGCCTAAATAAATTAAACAAAGTTAAATAAGATAAAACCAAACAAAAAGAGACGAATATAAAATAAAAACTTTAAAAAGGACCTTAGCCTACATAAATGACAGCACTCTAAAAAAAGTAAAAACTATAAATTGCATTTATTAACATTAATATATATTGGCCAAAATATTGCCAAACAGTGCGCTT